TTAAAATCAAATTGTATTCAATATGACACTTCAAATGACATGAAATAAGACAAATCAGAAAATAGTTACTGCTTCATCAATAAGAATGCAAACTTCATATGCCACAGCAGGAAAAAAAAAGGTTAAAAAAGTAACATCATAGTTTCTTAAGAAATATAAAATCATCTAATCACCAAAAAAACACAGAGATTACACGCTCAATAGCTGAGTTATATTGAGTGGGATGAAATCAGTTAACACTTAGCCTCCCTGCCTCGAAAGAAAACTAAATGACTCCTCTTTTATCCACATCAATTTTTCTAGTTCTCACCTACTGCTGAAAAATTCTTTTAATAACAGAAGACATTTCTTTCAAAAGTGTCCACTATCAAGGTACTACCTTAAGATAAATGGTAATCAAGTGACCAGGAAAGATTTCTTGATTCTGCAAGGAGTCTGGGTTGTCTGGCACTGAAGTCTGATCAATAAGTGAGAAAAGTTTCTGCAACATAAGCTGAAGAAAGAAACCAAAAACAATCCAAATGTGAGAGACAATCTCCACTTTATAGAAACACAACTAAATGTCCAATTTGAAACAAGCACACAAGTAAACATATTTAGAAAAAGCCAGTTCATATCTAACATGAGTAGATTGAACTTGTCGTAATTGCATCAAGATGAAAGATGTAATCCCTCAGAACAGTTTCACAACCTACCAAGAAAGATTGAAGAAGAAAAAGAAAATAACTTCAGAAACTTATATTTAGACCTTCATTGCGATATAAATTTTCAGTGAAACAAGGGGGTTGATAGATGTAGAGAAAAACTTACAACATAATACTTTCTTTTCTGAGTCCATCCATACAGGTTGAAGTGCTCCCCTAAAATTTTAGTTAGAGAATTAACACAGATAGTTATTAACTGTTTTAATAAGAAACAACATGATATCTATTACCATGAAAAATAAAATACAAAATTGTTATGACAACCAGTGGTCCAAAGATTTACAATCAGAAGCAGTTAAAGGGTCTCTCTAGTATGAGCCCATACACTAATCAAATGCACATGTTAGTACCGATAGCCTCCCAGTTTTCGAAAATGAAAAATAAAGAAGATCCTGAAATTCCTTGGCACAGAAGCCCATAAAGACACCAAACAAATTCTATGCCACTAGAAGCCACTCTCCCCTTCTATCTCATCCTCAAATACCTTTTTTTCTTTTCAACCATGGTTCCAAAAAAATTTCATCCCTCGCATCTCCATAAATCTTTGCTTTTTATTCCCAACAAGTATGCCCATAAAGACACCAAACAAATTCTATGCCACTAAAGCCACTCCCCCTCTATCTCATCCTCAAATATCCTTCCATTCCTTTTCAACCATAGTACTCAGAAATTGTCATCATTCACATCTCCATAAAATCTTTGCTTTTTCTTCCGAAGTACACAAATCCTCCAAAACTTGAGACACACAAACTCAAGCTTAGGAATGACCCATGCCATCCTTGCTGCCTTAAAGAGTTGAAACCACGACTTCATGGCTATGGGTCAGGGGATAAAAGATGATTGACACATAATACACCAGTGATAATGTCATGTATTAAGCTACTTCCCAATAAATTAAATTCTTCTAGGACTTTGGCTTTCCTACATCTTAGCTGGAAGAAATAAGGAGGAGGAGGAATCATCAATCACCAATAAAGGTATGCTTTGCAAGAGCAACTGCCCAAGAGTTAATTTTCCAGGGCCTGATTCCTCCTTTGAATTAGGTTTTAAGCGAAAATAGCCATTTTAAGGTATCTTTGTTAATTAATGTCAATATTTTTTTCTACATAAACCCATCTATTGAAGTCAAGCGATAAAATACTCCTCATATTTACAAAGATATCCCATAAAAGTTTTTTAAGTGGGCATTTTAGTCAGTTCACTTCAACATTTGGATACGTGTGCAAAAAACTTAGGACAGTAACATTTTTCAAAAAGAAAAAGCCTTTAGTGGCTATTTTCGCATAAACCGTTTGATCCAGAAAGCCAAATCCAATTGAGCCAAGATGGCTAATTTAATACTTCTATATCATTCAGTTTACTAAGAATTCTAAATTCCACCTGCATAGAAGCACAAATAGACCCTTTGCCTATATAGACACATAGTGAGACTTTATTAGCATATAAAGGCATGGAGAAGCACACTAAACTTTGCTTCTCCTAATCAACAATCTTCTCAAAAGTTGTTCTTTCAAAAACTTTACCAAATTGTTAGTTAACAAAATATTTAAATAAAAAATAAAATAAACTAGTGAAATAATAAGTACCAATATGTTGTAGACATTGAAGACGAGTGAAAGAGACAAGTCCCGCTTCATCAAGAATAATTTTTGCCCGTTCACCCACCAGCTGTGAGCCAACAGCTCCCTTTTCCTTCTCATATTTTTCCCCATAGCAGCATGTTAAATTGTCATAAATCTCATGATCATTAGTGTCAACAGGGCCTGATAACAAACAGAAATTAAGTAGCACAAAAAAGAGATCAACGAGCCCATATACAACAGAAACAAATATGTATGAAATTATATGAATCCGAGAGAACTTCGGCCAAATAAAAGGTTAAAAAACACATGCATAAACAATAATCCATCAATACTTATACATATGCTCCATTTTCCCCTTTTATTTGTTCAAGTTGAATATCATCTAAGATGTCACATAAAGCTGCAGGGATACACTCCATCTTCACAGATGCGAGTAAAAAGACATAAATGTTGCTTTTAATCTCCTCTACGAAAACGTTATAATCAATCTACATTTTATTTATATTTAAAATAACAAAACTTTAATACTTTAGAACAAATTCTGAGGAGATCCTCAATAATCCTTTCAACAGCAATTTTGTAAATTAAGGTTAGGCAAAAAAGGATTTATCCTGAGTTTAATATACCATTTACCATATACTGAGCACATCTACATTTATTGGTGATTCATACCTACGTCTCCCACAAGAAGAAATCTTTGACAGATTAAACCAGAATTGAACCAATGGAGAAAATAACTTAATCAAAGCAATGTCAACTGGAAGCTAGCATAGATAATATCCTCTAATAAGGAGATAAGGTCAACATAAAATACACCACGGGTAGCCAAACAGCAAGTGAGAAATAAAATCATTTCCCGCGCAACTACGATCATTTCCCGCAGCAACTACAGAATAAGAGGAATAAATATGGAAGATTTTTTACCAACCAAGGGGTGAAATGTTGATAAGAATACCCAATGGAAGCAAGCAAGAATTTTAGTAAACACTGCCACTAGGAATAACAGAGGGAGCAAAAAGAGTATCAAGGAGACAAAGATGGAAGGAGAAATAAATAAAAAACCAACTTTAATTCACAAGTACGATCTGGAATTACTTTGTATATCAATTGCCCTATCAATAAAGTAGAAATAAGAGATAAACAATAAAATTTGAGCGGCATCACCAGACGAGAGCACCACTCGATAGCTCTCCAATGTCAAAATGAAATGCTAACTTTTGCCAAACAAGAAAATTTATGCTAAACCACCAGAGGAGAGCACTTCTAATATAGCCTGCTGCAATATTGAAATAGAAAGCTAACGTACTCTAAATTCACTTGCCCAATGGATTGACCTCCTGATTTACGAGTTTCGCAATTTACACAGAATGTTACATCAAAGAACTTCCTCCAGCACCATACTCTAACCATTTCTATACACACATCTTACTAACACACCCACAGGCATGTTCAAGGAATAGTTAGCCTATATATCATGAATTCCACCAACTAATTTTTAATAGATTAGTGAAAAAAACCAGTTAAAAAGGTATAGAAATAATAACTTTTAAATGGAACATCTGGCCAACCACGATGGCAACAAGAAATATAAATCTCTACTTTGGACAAGAGCTCTTTTACCAGCCTCCGCCATATGAGCTAGATTTTCAAATACGTGTAGAATTATAGTTTTCGACATTAGCTCACATGCTCATTTGAAAATGAGATGGTAGATAAGCCCCAAAGAAGATAATGGTAGCCGACTGTTATTAAAAACGACTCAAGAGAAGTGAAAAGCATCAGCACATTTGAAGAAACAAGTAAAAGCACAATACCTTTAAAACAATGCCGACTGGAAGTAATTATTCCTTCCCTTGCACCTTCGAATAAGGAAGAAAATATATTACTTCATTTACCTTACCAGAAGTCAAAAATGCATACTCCATCAAACTTTAACTGCTTACCAGAAACCAAGCCTTGCACTTCCATTACGAAGGTAATACATTTACCTGATCTGAGGATTGATCTTTTCTTACACACCTGAATGGGGATCAATGAGACCCACAACGAACAAATAAATTGACTTAACTAAGTTCCAAGCAGTCAAAAGGGACCAGACGAAACAAAAACCGAACTTAATCAGAAAAAGAAAATTCAGAAGTGCAACATCTCATATAAAACATGGCACTTAACCAAAATCGAAGTATCTTACAGATAAACCCTTAAGGATATTGCTGAATTTGGACATCCACCAACAAGAAGATATGCTGCAGTTAAAAAAGAATGGAATGGTAATACAGACAAAAGAAAATAAATTCCAACAATACCACCCATCATCAAGCACCACGCTTTGTTGGAAATGATGTCCCTTCTTTGGAAGCAAAGAACTAAAATCATGGATTTCACAACAACAAAGAGAGCATTTGCGTCCAAATGAAAATAACATGGATGTTGGGTCATTAATCTATTATTATTTCAGTTGACTGAATCCCACTACTGTATCTTTTTGTTAGTTTCCAGATATGCCCACAGTCAGCATCATTGATCTTAATCTAATTAAGTTCTGGGTCTTCAATTGGAATCTCATTTCAAATTGTACTTGGCCAGTCAAATTTCTTGAAACTAAAACGTGTTTTAGAGTGCCGAGTACAGTCAGAACCGTAAATAATTTTATCAGTCCAAGTTCTTAGCTTCATTCAGTCCAAAAGTTTCTAAGTAGAATATAGGAATAGAACCTCAAGACAACTGCTTTATTAGTATATCCTTCTCGCCGATCACGAAAGGAATCCGAACCATACTCATTGGCTGAAATAGAAAGAAAAAATTCAGATCAGCCATGCATATTCAAAATACAAAACAAAAGAAAATTTGGTCATGCTGCTGAAAAATCACAACATTGCTTAACCACAAAATACTACCATTGGTTAATAGGTTCATCACCTAGGTTAATGAAGTTCATCACCCAAAGTTCAAATCTTACATCTGCTAACCATCATAACTATATTAAGAACGAAAAGGCCTACTTACATGAGTTTGCTTCGGTAATATTACAGCTCGAAAACTCTCTCCAGCCCATTCAGAATGAAGTAACTACATCACATTTAAAAGGTAAACAAATTAAATAAAGAATGCAGTAATTAATAAAGAAAAGCAAGTGTCTTTCATCTAATACTTGGCACATCAGAAGGGACTCAAATACCGTATCAAGCAAAATATGAAAAGAATACCGCCTGAACTCAGAAGCAATATAACTGGCAGTTGGAACAATGCAAGTTTACTATAAAGAAGATAAAATTCATATTAACCTTTTACTACTTCTATTTAGCATTCCGATTACACTCAGATAAAAACATCTCCGCACAACTAAAAATTATCTTTGGGTTTATTATACAATTACTTATAAAATTCCAATCACATCATCATGCAACTCTATATCTATAGAAACATAACAATATAATGAAAGCATTTCCAGATTAGTATCTTTTACTAGCTTCTCATATGCAATCAGAAAATTCAGTCAAGAGAGGCCAAACACCATTCATGAAAAGTTCAATATAATCAAATAACAATACAAAAACCAGTAAAAAAGGATAATAGTGATTACTATGGAAGACATTGATCGCTTACCCACCAACTTCTATGCCTCCTCTTGAAAGATTTTAATTTTTGGGGATCAGCATCTCGTAGATGACAACGTTTAGACTGCATCAAGTACTCAACTCATCAATTGTGACACCACACTCAAGAAATTCAGTGGTCACACCAACTAAATTAAATATAGAGTGTTTTATGTAGATAATAATCAGCCTCCTATTGTCTTGTGTAAGCAAATGATTATCAATCAGACGTTCACGCTTGTGTATGCAAAAATGCATTACATGTAATAACACATATTTATTTGTAGCAATACTTTCAAGAATAATGAGATTGAATCTCACAACAAATGATGCCACAACACACAGTTTAACAATGAAAAAATTGAGGAAAGATACCTGACCAAGTACAGGAGACAAACACACATAAACTTACTAAAAATACAGGTATAATATATAATATAGTTCTTTACAATAATGTGCCTATCTAGGGTCATTAACTCATCAGGTGCAACTGGCTTTGAAACAACTGATGACATATAGCCATAACCTGGTTAGAGGCAAACTGCTATCCCTCGAAGCAAAGCTATAAGAATTTTCCTAGGGTCTTTCTTGACAAGGGTACCCAACAATACAAAAAGGACTGCTACAGTGTTTGAAGAAACAACCTTTGATGCAGCTAGCTATAAACCTATATAGAAATTCAGTTTTATTTACCATCTGCATTTTGAGTCTATGAGCCAGTTTTTCATAGCAAATGAGAAACATTTCTAATTAAAGAATAATGCTGATGAATGGTAGACCTTGCCAGCGGCATGAGTGTATGACATCTACGTTTGAACTCTCTAAAAACCCTTTACTTCATATACACAATATATCATTCTTTATGCATTTCTGTTAAGACATTAACAAAATATGTCTACGCTTCCAGAGACAAAAAAAATAGAAAATTTAGAGACAGAGCAAGGCACCAACCTTTAACATTATAGGAAATTGCCCAAAATTGATTTCTCTTATACTGCAGAGTCATCATATTGAAATTCAACATCCGCCATTACTTGCCGGTATATGATATTTTAGCCTGTCGACACTGTTTCCAGAAAAAAAAACTGCCAATTAATTTACTTCTTAAATTAAAAAATAAAATTATATATTAAAGAAAATAGAGATAGCAGTTTTCTTTTACTTCGAAAGGAAGTAACACGTCACGCATTGTTTGGAGCCGGGTTCCTTTTGAGGTGGAAATATTTCAGGATTACCCACTGATAGTAAGGCTATTAGTCAAGAAAAAACACACACTAAAATGAAATAATACTGCATTTCAGCCAAACATTACAGAATTACTACCATTGGGCGTTTCTTCAACAGAACTTCCTCAAAAAGCACCAAGGAAGTAGTCCAAAAACTACTTGAAGCGCCTTTTCTATCCAGAAAGTACTTGTCCAGAACAAAGCACTTATCAAAAGGCACCCTTGAAATATTCCTCGAAACTACTTCAACACCTTTGCCCTTTGTCATGCAATAAGAACTTTTTCACCATCAAGCACTTCAACTACTTTTATATCTTAAGCGAACACTAAAGCCAAATTTTAGAAAACTAACATTTTTAATACAGCTTCCTAGAAAAGCACCAATTCTTCTTCTTCTAAAAACCACTTCAAGTGCTTTTCTAATCAAAAAGAAATGCTCCAGAATAAGGGCTTGTTCAAAAAGCGCTTCAACTGCCAATTTATCTTAAGAAAACACTCCAATTTCTTTTCTTCAAAAGCAACCTCGCCGACAAAGTATTCCTCTCAAAACAAAAACACTTTCAGCTCTTGAACAAAAATCACTTCAATTATTTATTTTTGTTCCAAACCTTTCAAAATTGACAACAGTTCATAAAAATAAAATAAAATAAAACAAACAATAACGTTTTGCGTCAATTAAATTTCCAATAAAGAAAGGATATTTTTAAGCTTCTTATTGGTGAAAGAATCGTGAACGACGACAGGCTTGATGCGATCGAACATCTCATTCAAACCTTCATCCACCATGTAATCGAAGGACTCTATGTGGTGCCTCACTAACTGGCGCAGCGGCTCGAAGTCCGCCGCTTGTTTCTTATTCGCCATGTCTTTAGCTTTCAGTTGTCTTCCCGCAATCCTTCTGGAAGCTCTATTGTAGTTTCGAAAGGAGGGTTTTGCAGGGGTTTTTGTTCGATGGAAGTTAAACAAAAGGGTTTTGCAGGGGTTTATATCGCAGGGTTTTTGATGTCTTTAGGGTTGGAATAAATCTGCAACAAAAGGCTTTTATATGCAGGGGTTTTGATGTCTCTTTTGATTATGAGAGAAAGAGACGCGTGGTATGGAGATTAAATAATGAGAAGTGTGGGACCTGTGGGTAATTTTATATTGAATTTTAAATTACATTGGAGCCCACGTTTTTAAGAATT